ACACCCCACAGTGCTCCAGGACACCCACCTTGTTAATGAAGGCTGCCAACAGACATGAGGGTGATGGCAGGGAAGAGCTGGGCCCCCCAACACTGCCACTTGTATCCAAAGCTATGTCCTTAGGAACCCAGGCCAAAGGTCCCACTGATGCTCTGCCTGCATCCCCCCAGAGAGGCCACATGTGGCAAGAGGTGCTGAGCTGGGGTTTAGGGGAAATGCCACTGAAGACGTACCCAGACTCCACTGCCAGAGTTCAGACAAAACCACCTACCTGTGGTGGTGGTGACTCTAGGCCAGAAAGGATGGAGCCAGAGGAGGAAGAACACCATCTGATGTCTCCCTCATTGCCACCTGTTTATAAACCCAGATACAAGGGTCCTCTGCCTCCTGAGGTGCAGTAACCATTTTGTCACTTTTGGACTTGGGGATTGTCGGCCATTTCTCCTTTCCCCTGGAGTTAGCTTTGGCGAATCCTGTGCTCTAGGAATTCTGAAATCTTAGCAGGCTTCTTCCTTGGTTGAGGTCTGAGTGTCCAGATGTCAAGCTCCACCGGTGCTTATGCATGCTGCACTCTGTGATCAGGGCACAAAGGGAGACCACATCGGGCTGCTTCCTTTGGATTCGGAGCCAGACTCAGAACCTCAGCTTTGCAGTTGGGCCACAGGATGAGCTGTGGTCAAGAACAAAAGACAGGCCATCCTCACCCCATGTACCTTGGCAGCTTTGAGACAAAGAGCCTCTCAGGAGCCCCCCAGGCAGAGCTTCAAGGGTCTAGTTCTCAGGGTAACCTGGGACACTTGGACTCTGCATGGCCCGAGGGAATATGACAGGTCCAACACATAGCCAAAAGTGTTCCTCCTTCCTGAGGACCCATGGGTTTGGTGAGCCTGTGTGAGCATCCAGAGTTCCAAATACCTGTGTCTTTATGTACCCCCAAACTTCTAACTTGCCTCCATCCTTCCTATGTGCTGTCAAGATTTCTCAACCCCACTCCATGCCTCTACCTCAATGTGAACAAAAGCCCAGGGCTATTCTCGGATTGGTTCTGTTACCCTGGGCTCTCTTCATGAGAGCTTGTCTCACAAACTCAGAGTCCAGCCTACCAGATCCTGAGCTGAAAGGTGAAACCGAGGCCTCCCCAGACCTGAAAGAGCAGGTGAGACTGAGGAGGTTAGCAGCTCTTGGTGATGACCAGGTAGGCACCTAGAATGACCAGCAGGTAAAGGAGAAAGAAGAGCAGCTACAATGTACTGTCAGAAGAGCTGTCAATCAGGTATTGTGCTGACCCTGTACAGACACCTGTTGTGGAATATTATTTTAACTAGGCAAAGATGTTACATTTGTTTATGCTGTGGAATATTACTTCAACTATGTAAAGGTGTGTTACATTTGTTTCTGCTGCATTTGCTTAACAATGTAAGGATGTGTGTTTAATCATGTAAAGATGTATTGCATTTGTTTCACCTTGCCTGCCTAAGGCACCTGATTGGTTTAATAAAGAGCTGAATTCCATTAGCTGGGCAGAGGAAAGATAGGCAGGGCTGGCAGGCAGAGAGAATAACTAGGAGAAATCTAGGCTTGAGAGAACAAGAGAAGAGAGGAGAGACCCGGAGCCAAAAGCCAAACATCCAGACACAAGAAGTAGTAAACATAAGATACACAGAAGGAAAGAAAAGTTAAAAGCCCCGAGGCAAAAGGTAGATAAAGAGAAGCAGGTTCGTTTAAGTTAAAAGAGCTAGCCAGAAATGAGCCTAAGCTAGGCCAAGCATTCAAAACTAATAATAGGTCTCTGTGTCATGATTTGGGAGCTGGTTGACAGCACAAAAGAAAAAGCCTGGCACAGACACCCCTCACTTTGTCCTCATGGTGTCCTGGACAAGTCTGGTTATGCCAGTGCCAGCAACAAAGGAAGCTGAGGCTCAGATGCTATGTACAAGTTCTCTCAGGTGGTAATGGTGGACAAGTATGCTGTGGAGAAGGAAGAAATATATTTCTGAGGTAGGAGCATTGATGTGTGTGGTAGTTTGAAAAATGGCCGCCATAGGCCTGCAGGGAGTGGCATTATTAGGAGGTGTGGCTTTGTTGGAGTAAGTGTGTCCCTGGGGTGGGCTTTGAGGTCTTAAGAAGTTCAAGCCAGGCCTAGTGGTTCACAGTCACTTCCTGCTGCCTACAGATCCAGATGTAGAACTCTTAGCTACCTCTCCATCACCATGTCTGCCTGCATGCCGCCATGTTTCCTGCCATGATGACAACGAACTAAACCTCTGAACTGTAAGCCAGCCCCAATTAAATGTTTTCCTTTGTAAGAGTTGCTGTGGTCATGGTGTCTCTTCACAGCAATAAAACCCTAAGACAATGTTCAAGAAATTTTAAAATGAAGTTATCAGAAGTTATCAGCACACACACACACACACACACACACACACACACACACACACACACACTCCCTGCTCTTCTCTGTAATCTTGGTACCTTCCAACTCCTCACATTCTCCAGATCCAACCAAAGAGCCATCTCCTCCAAGGACCTGCCCTAATCTGGCCCAAAACCCCAATGTGAGAAGTTCATCCAGTGAAAAATTCATATGACTTGGGGTTCCAAGGTCAGACTCCCTGCTACTTCCTATACAGAACCTGTGTATGCCTGCCCTGTCCCAGCTGCAGCCTCCTCATTCACACTCTGAGCCTGGTTCCTGATGGGTATGATGACCAAGACAAGACAGCAACTCCACCCAAATGCCACAGATGAAAGGCCCAGGACATACTTTCCAGGGCTGAGACTGGGGAAGCCCTTCTTCACCTCCCCAGTACCAGTCCCCATTATCCCTCTGATGAGATGCCAGTCTTGGATTGCATCCGGTATTTCTCATGATTCAGCCTACTTCCCTCCCAAGTTCTAAAAATAATAGAGGGACCTTAGGAGCATGCTTCCCTAAGGCTGGGTCAAGAATTAGTATGAACGCTTGGGGGGACCACTGTAGCCTACGTGTCAAGCTAACCCTTTCAGGTTGTGTACTTAGCAGTCTCAACTCAGCCTGCGGCTCTCCCAGTCTCTGAATTTCATATACACGTAATTTTCTGTGCAGAGAGACTGGATATTAACACCGTGACTGAATGCACTAGCACAGACAGTCTGCTCAAAACCCAGAAAAGCTGCAAGCCAGAACTGTGTAAGGCTTACCACACATCTGATTTAAACACTCATACATCAGAGGAGGCCCGACTCCTTTGCTGAGAGAGGACTCCTCAACACTACTGTTCCCAAAAGAAAATTAGAATGTGAGCTCACTGGAGGATCAAGTTATCAGCATGCATAAGGTCCTGGTTTTTACCTCCAACATAAATGAAATAAAGGAATAAAAATATACAATCTTGAGTCAGATATGGTAGCCCAGACTTTCAGGAGGAGAATAGAGCATCCAAAGCTACCCTGAGCTACAGAGTAAGACCTTGTCAAGAAGAAAAAGAATCTTACAGCCAACACATTAGAGTTGGGGGTCCATCTCATGCACAGAACCATGGTTGGGCTAAACTGATATGAAACAAACTCAGGCTGGACCAAAACAACCCAACCCAAGAGAGTACGTAAAAAACCACACAGCAGTGTTGGGAATAGGACACTCCTTGGAAATGAGATGTCAGGGTTGACCATGATGATCTCGGAGTTCCCAGATTTAATTACTGCATGTACAATAATAGCCCAGCTTTAAAACAAAGGAAGTGTGGGGTGACACGCATGCCTTTCTTTAATGCTGGCTGCTGAGCACACACTCCAGTTTCCGCTGCTAATAATGGGACACATAATTAACCTCCTTTGTGATGGTTCTGGCCGCCTAGAGTCAGTGCCCTTGACCAACAATGAGATGAGGAGAGTCTAGAGCAGCTCAAATTGTGCCTCCAAGAACTCAGCCTCACTCAACCCCAGCCACACAGGCACATGCCCTACAGAGATAGCATGGAGCATCCCTGGACTCACAGATTCCGGGTCCACTCCTTGAAGCTTCCACATAAGTCTCGATACCACTATGAGCTCATCTTCCTAAGCAGGTGAATGGGCACACCTCTGAAGAAAGCCTTAGGAGTTAGGAGAAATCAAGTGTTAAACAACCCTCCACAGTGGGTGTGGTGGCTAACACCTGCCATGCCAGCATTTGGGAGGTGGGGGTGGGAGCTTTAAGAGCTCAAGGCTAGTGGTAGTTACACAGTGATTTGGGGCCAGCCAGGACTACATGAAACCCTGTCTCCAAAAACAATGAAAATCCCTCCATGGTGAGCCAGGCAGGTTGTTGGCATCCCAGCAGTATTACTGGCTTCCCTCTCCAAGCTGCGTAGAGAAGGGTGAGAGGAGGCAGGAGCTGAGCTGTGAGAGGGAGAAGAGAAAGTTTCTGCCCAAAGGGATACAGGAGAAATAACAAATTAATAATAGTGGAACAAATAGATAAACAACAAACATTTCTGGAGCTCTTAGTAAGTGCTAGGTCTCGCCCTGGAGGCTTTCGGGTCCATTATCCCATTAGCTCCTCCCAGTAGCTCTCAGGTGGATATTATAATTATTATCCCTTTATCCCTACTCCCCACAGGACATCTAAGGCTCAGGAAGATTATTCACCTGCCCAAAGTCGTGACATGAACTTACCCATAACTTCAAAGGCTTTGCCCCTCATCACACGTGCATGCACATACCCCCTTACCGCCCCCCCCCCCCCCACACACACACCATGAACTCAAAAGTCACTGTATACCCAAGGCCAGGACTTCCTAGCCTTCAGGGTGGGAGACCAGGTGGGGTGTGAGCCAACCTGGGATGGACCCAGTGACCCAACAAGTCCCAGCAGCAGGGCGGGAGGGTCCCGCCCGATGCCCAGAGTGCCAGGCCCCCGAGCTGACCAGGCGCTTCGTGGCACCATAAAGTCCAGGCGGGCGGGAGAAGAACGCCGTTTTATGGGGGCAGCAAGGCAGTCCTGGCTGCTTTGATTCCAACCAGCAAGCTCATAAACGCCGGGGCGGCGGGCGCGCTCCTTCCTGCGCGATATAAGGCTCCTGGCGGGCCTTGGGGTCCAGATCGGCCCTGAATCGCCTACACACCATGTCCTGCTTCTCTTCCCGCCTCGGCGCCTCCTGCGGGGTCCGCGCTTTCAGCTGCGCCTCAGCCTGCGGGCCCCGGCCTGGCAAATGCTGCATCTCCGCAGCTCCCTACCGCGGCATCTCCTGCTACCGAGGACTCTCTGGGGGCTTCGGCAGCCGCAGTGTCTGCGGGACCTTCCGCTCCGGCTCCTGTGGACGCAGCTTCGGATACCGCTCTGGAGGGGTCTGCGGGCCCACACCCCCCTGCATCACCACAGTCTCTGTCAATGAGAGCCTGCTCACACCCCTCAACCTGGAGATCGACCCCAATGCTCAGTGTGTGAAGCATGAGGAGAAGGAACAGATCAAGTGTCTCAACAGCAAGTTTGCCGCCTTCATCGACAAGGTGGGTGTCCTGGAGCAGCCCCTTCCTGGAGCCTAAGGAACAAGTAGATCAATTTAGAAGCGCAGGGAGAACGGGAGCTTCTAGGTAACTTTCACTGACGAGAAAAGTCACGCCTCTTCCAGACTGTTCCAACGCTTGAAGTGGAGAAAGCTTGCTGGGTGCTAACCTCTCCCGCTTCTAACTTGGCCTTTTCTCCCACTTTTAATGGAGATAGCCCTGTGGGGTAGTCTCAGCTAGGATGTCATGCTTTGTGCGATCATTTGACACATGCCTAGCGAGGCTCCTTTTCCAACACTGTGAGATCTCTCTTTTAGTGTGCCCCAAATGCAAATACCCGCACACACTCGTGTAGAAAAATCAGCGCAGCGTCTCCGGAGTGCAGAGCGTTGCAGCCTCAGTACAGAGGGCAGTTAAAGAGGGATGCCTCCGGCATAGCCCTCTGTACCCAGGAGAGGAAGATGGCTGTCACAGCGTTGTCCAGCCACAGTCAGATTAGACCCAGGCACAGACTGTCTGCTCCACAGGTCCCTGAGTTAGAGGGCCCAAAGCCCACAGTCACTGTTTCCTCCAGCCAGGCTACACCCTGGGAAAGTGGCCACAGAGTCAAGCAGAAGAATCCTGGAGCCCAGAATCTGTGGCCTCTGACCAACACCTACTTCCTCCTCTGGCTCGCTGGGTGACATGGTTCAGTGGCCTCCTCTCTCCAACTCAGAGCCTCCCATCCTGGCAGTGTATGAGCTGGCCATGGCCATAAAAGGAAGGTAGAGCTGAGACAACCGTGAGATCCTATCAGCGAAGACCACCAAAACAATTCCACGCAGTACTGAGAACCCTAGTCCCCATTTCTGGAAGCTCCAGCCCAAGGCTGCTCAGCTATATATACTCTTGGAAGTAGGTACACAGGGCTCCAGACCTGGTGGTAAGAGGTGGACCAGGCCTGCAGGTGACAGTCCACTCCTCTCCTGCTCAGTCTCAGGGACTGGCAACCTAGAGACCCAGGGCTAGTCTAGCTCACTGCCATTCCTCTCAACCAGCACGGTAGGTCTTGGCCACATCGGCACTGCTGTCTATATGACTGACAGTAAGCGGTGACATCTTTTTCCAAAACCTTCTCCAGTCTACATCATCCACATGCTCTCCAAGGACCTGTGAGTTCAGGCTCACTTGGAACTGCAGGCCTCCTTTGTGGCAAGAGCCCCAGAACATCACCCCTGCCTCTCTGACATCCCTCCACCCAGAACACCCCCCCCCCAACCTTGTCTATTCTCAGTTGCTCACCAAGCTCCCTGGCCACCAAAGACATCACGTAAGCCACAACCCGACTGAGGAAGCTCTTAGTGAAAGGTTCCCTCTTCTCTCTCCCCTTTCTCTCTCCCTTCACTGCTCTGTGTTCTTTCCTCCGGGACACCTTCCTGATTGCCTCTACCTCACCTACAGTCACTCAGTTACCCAGGACAGCTACGTGCTCCACCATCTGGACCCACCTGGACAGGCACTCATTTGCCCAACCATTGCACACCTCCTCAATGAGTTTTGCCTGGCTCTTCCCATGCCCTCAGGAGGGCAAGGCAGGTCGGCTCCCTCCAATAAACTCCCCTCCCATGGCAGGTGCGCTTCCTGGAGCAGCAGAACAAGCTGCTGGAGACCAAGTGGCAGTTCTACCAGAATCGTAAGTGCTGTGAGAGCAACGTGGAGCCGCTGTTCGAGGGCTACATCGAGACCCTGAGGAGGGAGGCTGAGTGTGTGGAGGCGGACAGCGGGAGGCTGGCTGCTGAGCTCAACCACGTGCAGGAGGCCATGGAGGGCTACAAGAAGAGGTGAGTGCTGTGGGGATGACGGTTTGCAGAGACAAAATGAAATTAGGTCAAAGACCAATGGATTTAGATTGGACTTTAAAGGGATCCTCCTAAACAGAGAAGACAGTGGCACATGCCTCTGGAGCGGTGGGTCTCAACCTTCCTAACGCTGCACCCCTTTAATACAGTTCCTCATGTTGTGGTGACCCCCCAACCATAAAATTATTTTCATTGCTACTTCATAGCTGTAATTTTGCTATTGTTATGAATTATAATGTAGATATCTGATATGCCACCTCAGGGGGTCACAACCCACAGGTTGAGAACCACTGCTTTAAAGCACACTCTGTTCTAGACTGGGAATTTAAAGATTACAGAGGAGGCTAAGACTAACACAGCTCAGTATTAAAGCTGCTCTTTCACAAGACCAGGGTTCAAATCCCAGCACCCACATGGCAGCTCACAACCATCTATGACTCTAATCCCAGGGGGTCCAGCACTCTCTTCTGGCCTCCATGGGCACTCCATTTACATAGTGCACAGATATACATGCAGGCGAAACTCCCATACACATGAAAGAAAAATAAATAAAATCCCAAAAAGCTGTTTTAAATAAAGACTGCAAACTCTAAGATACTCATTTTTATTTATTTATTCTCTTAATTCACAAAGGCTCATGGAGCACCTGCTGGTGTTCTAGGTACTGGGGTAGGCCCTGGATGGACGCCGAGCAAAGGGTGGTTCCAGAGTCAGGCAGACTTCTTAAACTCAGAGAGCCACAGCCCAGGCACAGAGAGGAGGCCACATCAGTCAGGACAATCTAGGAGCCCAAGGGACTGTCGTGGTCTCCTCCAGAGATCCAGATCCTGGGATATATTCATCTGGGCTTTACTCTCTTTTTTCCCCCTTCTCAAATCTGAGCCTTGTATCCTCTGTCCCCAGGTATGAAGAGGAAGTGGCTCTCAGGGCCACTGCTGAGAATGAATTTGTGGCCCTGAAGAAGGTGAGTGATTCAGAATAGTCACCCTTCGGTCAGAGCTGACATGGAACACCGTTCACTGGACACTGGAGGCCACCGCCCCCAGACTCACCAGGACCAACCCCTGCATAGCCCTGGGCCTCAGAGCCCCACGCCAGCCTCGCTTGGGGACTGCTATTTCGTGCTCATTTGCCTAGGCATCTAGTCTCCCTTGGCCCTGGGCCTGTTAACAGAGTGGGCACCTGATACACAGTGGTAAAGGAGAGAGCACCAGTTGCCAAGGCACCCTTAGACAGCCACAGTGGAAACACACGGTGGTAAAGATGCCTGGTGTTGCTTGCTTCATAAACGTGAGCCTGCCTTGTGGACTCACCTCCTCACCACTGGGATGAGGGCACTTCTGTGAGCACCTGAGGCCCAGGTGCAGAGGGTCAGGCTGGGCTGCCCTGGGTCCTCAGCTCCAGCATAGGCCTGGTTCTTCTATAAGACCCAGGACACAGCTGCAGGGCTCAATTAGAAATGACCCATTCCACACTTCCACACTAGACCCCAGGTTCTGGGGATGATACCGCTGTGGATTTAGAGGACCCATTCCCGTGGCAACAAGGCTGTGCCTGGGACCCTCAGATCCCCCTCCCTTTCCATTCCCACTCCTCACCAATGGCATGAAAGGTATTGCTCACACCATGGCCCTGGGCCTCCCCAGAGCGACTCAGCCCAATAACTGGAGAGGGGGGAAAACGGCAATCTAGTGAGCACCCTGTGAGATTCTCGGTTTGCCTTCGCCCCTTAGGATGTGGACTGTGCCTACCTCCGTAAGTCGGACCTGGAGGCCAATGCAGAAGCACTGACCCAGGAGATTGACTTCCTACGGCGACTCTATGAGGAGGTGAGGGGACCCAGGGAAGCGGGGCAGGAGGAGCCTGGAACACTTTGGGATGGACTTGGCACCACGGTGGTCTCTAAGCTCCCCAGTGGAGGCAGGGTACAGAATATTGTAGAAATCGGAGGCATATTTCTTATTCCCAAGTGAAGATGGTAGCTTGCCATCTCATCTCACACCCCACACAAGCTAGACTCCCTGGTTACTGTAACCACAGTGATCACAAGTGGTAAACTGAGGTCTTGGGGCCAAAGCACCGAGCAGAGTTCACAGACGTCAACTCTGTCTCCTCCTCTTGGACCTTCAGTATGGTATGAAGAGCACTGAGGGATAGTTCCAGGGTGCAGCAGGCAGGGGTGGGGGGGGGGGGGACGGGGACACTGGGACATGACAGTGGCCACCAGACTGACATCATTCGGGAAGCAGGGGAGCAGACAGAGACTGGGAGAAAGTAGGCTGCCAAGAGCAGGGATATGAACTAAAAAGAGCTTCCCTCCCTCTCCTGCAGGAGATCCGAATCCTCCACGCCCACATCTCAGACACCTCCGTCATCGTCAAGATGGACAACAGCCGGGACCTGAACATGGACTGCATCGTGGCTGAGATCAAGGCTCAGTATGATGACATTGCCACCCGCAGCCGGGCAGAGGCTGAGTCCTGGTACCGCACCAAGGTGAGTGGTCACAACACCTGTCCTTAGACATGACAGTGGGAAGGACTCCAGGATCTATCAGAAAAGGTTTCATGCACCCCAAGAGTCGCAAGAAGATTGCAGACAGCTCTCAGGTGGAGGAGGCAGCCCCGGCTGAGCACTGTGCTGCTGTGCATCTTGCACACCTTGCACACTCAGCGGTGGTGTGCTCACTGGGTAGATGTTGCATCCTGTGCCTCATGGGCATCTCTGTTTCCCCCATCCCCAGTGTGAGGAGATGAAGGCCACAGTGATCCGTCACGGGGAGACCCTGCGTCGCACCAGAGAGGAGATGAATGAGCTGAACCGCATCATCCAGAGGCTGACAGCTGAGATTGAGAACGCCAAGTGCCAGGTAAAAAGCCCAACCCCCACTCCACGCCCAGCATGAGGAGGGAGTGGCATCAGCTAGCAGCAGGCAGATGTGAGTTAGGCTCCTTGCCAGTGAGTAGGACTATAAGGCAACACCAAGCTGGAAGCCTCCTGAAAACATGCTTTCATTCCTGCTGAATGGTGACGATACCCAGGGTGGAGACGCAAGGACTTTCATGGTCCCGAGGCCAGAATGAGGGAGAGAGTGCCACTCGTTGTAAGGTATAGGGAAATGGATTCTAAAACCAGTCCTGGCACCCACAAGTCGCGGGCTTTGGGTGAGCAGTTTAACTCCTCCAGCCCATCGTTCGAGATCAGCAGTCACACATTCAGGCAAACAGAGGCTGGTAATGATGAGCAACAGGCTAGTCCAAGGCACAAGAGTGTGGCCAATTGAAAAACACAAAACAGCAGAACTGACAAGACCCAACAGGGACAGGCAACAAGGGCATGCAGGGCTCTCGGGGTGACACCGCGTAACTTTTCCAAAAGAAGCGTGAGTCTGCAACACTGGGCTAATGGCCAGAACTGATGTCATAGAACCCACATCCCCAGAGAACAGGAACTTTCAGTAGTGAATGCTGGACCTTGCTTGGCCCTTGAACATAGAACAGAGAACTTTAATAACCTTCCCTGCATCCCAGAACACCAAGCTGGAGGCGGCAGTGACCCAGTCTGAGCAGCAGGGAGAGGCTGCCCTCACCGATGCCCGCTGCAAGCTAGCTGAGCTGGAGGCTGCCCTGCAGAAGGCCAAACAGGACATGGCCTGCCTGCTCAAAGAGTACCAGGAGGTGATGAACTCCAAGCTGGGGCTGGATATCGAGATCGCCACCTACAGGCGCCTGCTGGAGGGCGAGGAGCACAGGTGAGCTGAGAAGGACCATGTGGGGATTCATCTGAGGGCCAAACTGTCCAACAAACAAGCTCTCTAAGGCCTGTCAGTCCTTGCATGGAAGGGGCAGAGACCCTGGTGACACAGCTCTTACCACCCTACTCCAGGCCAGGCTTCAGTAATAATGGTTACCTATCATATATCCTGTGCTCTGTGTCAAGCACCCATTTATAATCCTCCATCCTATCCCAAAACAGAGATGGGTTGGCTCAATGTTTAGCACCTTTCCCATGGCTACAAAGTTACTAAACTGCAGAGCTGGGACCCAACACTCAGTCCTGGGCTTCTAAAGCCCATTCGCAGTTTCCCTTGAAGGTGGGCTCATGTACGATAAGGATGATGTACCCTGAATACATGAGGCTCTGCCTCATCCTTATTGTGAGCACTATTGGCATTCAGCAGGCTCAGACACCCTGATGGCAGGCAGTGTGTGGAAGTCACAATTCCACTCACTAATGCTCTAAACAAAGCGGGGGTGGGGGCTGGTCTCTGGGGATGGGGGACACTTTAAAGAAAGAAAATGAATATTCCATGAAGATTTGGGGAGCCCTTCCTGCCTCTCAGGAGATAGATCTAACCTAGAACAAAAGCTGACCTTGTCTGTCCCCAAGCAACTGTCTCAAGGAATCCAGCTCCTGCTTAAAACTAATGGTGCTTTTTCTCCCTTTTAGGCTGTGCGAGGGTGTGGGCTCTGTGAATGTCTGTAAGTATCTGCAAGAAATGGCCCCTAGAAAAATGGTTGGGGGATGGGCAAAGCTGCACCATGGGCCTACCCCACCCAACCTCCAATGTTTCCCAACTCTCATAGTCTTTCCTCTTCTTCAGGCTCCTCCCTAAGGACTACTGGGCAGGGGGTGGCAGGTGGGGGAGTGAGGAGTGCTGAGTTGGGAGAGTGAGAGGGGGTCAAAAAAGTTGAGCGCCCCTTACTGGTGGCCACTAGAAACTGCAGTCCAGGAAAATGAGTCCAGGAATCATCACACCTCTCAGATGTGCTGTGAGGTTGAAAGAACAAAACCTGTCATGTTGACCACTGATCCCTTGAGGAGGGGGCAGGCCCTGCATGTGAAGCCCTCAGGGACCTGTGGTAGGTGGGTGACACTTGAGCAAGCCCCTTATCCCTCCCTGTTCCTCTTCCCACAGGTGTCAGCAGCTCCCGTGGTGGAGTCACAAGTGGGGGCCTCACATATGGCACAACCCCAGGGCGCCAGATTGCCTCTGGCCCCTCTGCCACTGGGGGCAGCCTCACAGTGATGGCCCCTGACTCCTGCTCTCCTTGCCAGCCACACCCCACCAGCTTCAGCTGTGGGAGCAGCCGCTCAGTGCGCTTTGCTTAGAAACAGGACCTCCAACTGAGCCACCTCTCTGCCCCTGAATGGAGTGATGTGTGAATGGAAAATGTGCGCTTGCTTCCAGAATATTCCAGATGTTCCTGTAGGAGAAAAGAGCTCAGGGTCGCTCTCCTTCACCTTCTTCTTTAGGGAGTTGTTTCTCGGTTCTCCTCTGGCTTCACTTTAGAAGCTTATTCCCAAGCCTTCCCTTAATTCCAACCTGTCTTCAAACACCTATAATTGATTTGTGTCCTTCACCAAGTCCTCTGGGACACTACCAGTCACCAAGGGTGGCTAGATAATAAGCTTAGCCTTCATGGGTCAAGGGCACAATCCTAACCACCCAGTGATTCCCCCCAAAACCAAGAACCAGAGGGAACCCTCACCAAGCAGCTCCCACTTCTGGCCCCAGGTACACGGCCTCAGAGGCAGCAAGCACCTGCCTATCATTGGTTGTGTTTGCTCACCTCCCTGACTGACTGCCTTTCTTGGGGCAACCTGCTCCAGCCAGACTCTTTGGGTGGCCTCCCAGAAAACAAGTCTACTCTCTGGGGAGTTATGCTACCTACAGCCCCTGGCTGGGAGCTTTGAACAGGTCTTGTTATTCAAGATACCTTTACACGTTTCAAAGACTCCATACTTGCTCCAGGCCTTCCTTGCCTGTGCAGAAGGGAACTGCCCACTGGAGAGCTGATGGGATGGGGACTATGAGGCCACTTTCCGGTTCTGTCTGTGGGTGCCTTGCCTTCTGGGTTGACCCCATCTGTGTTTCAATAAATGCTGCTGCGATGCAAGGGTGCCTGATGTTTTGTGCCAGGGTCGCCGCTCCCTGTTTCTTTGCCTCCACCAGCCAACCAACCCTAGGCCAGCCCCACACTGGTAACCAGCATTTGGAAAACCAGTATCATATGTCACAGGGTAACCGTCTCCACTCACCCCTGTGACTCCTCCTCTTCCAGTCCATTCCCACAGCCGGATCCACTTGTCCTCCTCTGTCCCTGCCAGGCTGGAGCACAGTTCCCCCCATAGCATCCTCCCCCAAAATAAGTCATCCTGCTGTCTTAGTTAAGGTTACTGTTGCTGTGATGAAACACCATGACCAAGTCAACTTGGGGAGGAAAGGGTTTATTCAGCCTACACTTCCAAATCATTCTCCATCACTGAAGGACATCAGGAAAGGAACTCTAACAGGGCAGGAACCTGGAGGCGGAAGCTGATGCAGAGGCCATGGAGGAATGATGTTTATTGGCTTGCTCCTCCTGGCTTGCTCAGCCTAGTTTGTTTTACTGAACCCAGGACCATGGTGGGCTAGGTCCTCCCCCATCAATCACTAATTAAGAAAATACCCTACAGGCTTGCCTACAGCTCAGCCTCTTACGGAGGCATTTTCTGACATAGGGTCCCTCCTCTCTGATGATTCTAGCTCCTGCCAAGTTGACACAAAACTAGCCAGCACACTGGTCTTTTAGCCCCACCCTTCACATGCTTAGCAGCCAAAGTCCCTTCCCAAATTCACTGCCACACTCCTACCACTGGGCTCAGATCACTCCCAGCACAGGCATGTGCTTCTTCCCCCACCTGCTCCTCCTTCCTGAACAACTTCCCTCCCAGTGCAGGTTCCCCAGACCTCCAGTACACAAGGAGACAGGTCTGCCCTCCTGAGGCTCCAGGACCACCTCGCTGCTATCCAAAGCAGACACACGGCCAGTCCTGTGCCCCTCATCTATCACCTGTACCTGTACTCAGTGATCTTCTCTAGTGGCCACCACCTCTGCGTCACAGCATCTAGAACCCTGAAGATACCTGGTTCTGTCTCCATGGCTTCAGTCCTTATCAAAAGGTTAATGTAGAAATTTCTTGAGGGCAGAATGTGTCTCCTGCTCTGAGCCTTCACTAGGCCCCAGGATGGAGCTCAGGGCATGCCAGGCCTGTGATGTATCGAGTGATCTTAAGAAGCTGAGAAAGTAAGAATCATCGACACTCAGCCCCCTTAGACTCCATCTCTGCACTAGAACACACCGGCTGTCACTCTCATGGGGCAGGTGTCTGTCCACCAGCCCCTCTGCTGCCCTACTCTCCTCCATGCCCATCTCTCAGCTCTTTCACTGATAGAAGGTAAGACCTGAGTCACTCTGCTGATTTAACTCTGCTGATTCAAGCCCAAAGGATTGTGAACCAGCTGGAGAATGCAGACTGCTCGTTTGAGGTTTACCAGGCGAACCCCAGACAGACTCCTGTAAGCCTTCCCCTCCTTCATTCCGATTCTCTGGACCTTGACCACAGCTGTGATCACTACATCATTTAAGACACATCATTCATCTACAAGGAGACCGAATTTCAGAGGCCAAAATGTCAGACGATGGCAATGGGGCTGCTGGACTGCCGGGTCTCGGTGATGTCTTTGACAAGAAGTAGCCTCTGTGTTTTGGGCCCCAGCAGGGCTTGAGATGGCAGGGTAGCCTTTCCCGCTCTGCCACATCCTGTGCACCTGGGATGCTGAAGTGAGTCCATGCTGGAGAAAATAACTTGATCTCAGCAAGGATACAGGCTAAACAAACCTGAGCTAGATAATCTTCGACCCCGAACTGTGAGACCACACACTGACTAGTGAAAAGGTCAGAGCCTGGAGGACATGAGTAAGTTTGTTTCCATGTTTGTGTGCAGCAAAGATGCAGCATCAACTCTCAGGACCACAGGACTCTGGGGCTCAGGTAGCCTTCTTCCAACAAGAGCTGTATTCCCTGAGCAAGGCAACAGGTGCCACCCAAGTTCATTTATAGACTTTTTATTAGAAAAAAAAATATGTGTGTGTGCACATGCATATGTATGTGTAGTATATGTGTGTGCATGTTTGTGTGTGTACATGTGTGTGCATGTGTGTACATACACATAGTGTGTGTGTGTGTATGTGGCATGTATATATGCACAGAGGTCAATGACAAGTGTCTTCCTTGTATACTCTTTACATTGTCTTTTGAGACAGGGTGTGCTGGCTAGTTTTATGTCCACTTGACACAAGATAAAGTCATGTAAAAGGAGGGAGCCTCAACTGAGAAAATGCCTCATAAGGTTGTGCTGTAGGCAAGCCCATGGGCATTTTCTTGATTAGTGATTGGTGGGCAGGAGCCTAACACATTGTGGATGGGGCCAACCCAGGTCTGGTGGCCCTGGGTTCTATAAGAAAGCAGGCTGAGCAAGTCATGGGGAGCAAGTCAGTAAGCAGCATCCTCCATGGCCTCTGCATCAGCTCCTGCCTCCAGGTTCCTGCCGTTTGAGTTCCTGTCCTGACTTCCTTCAATGATGAACTATGATGTGGAAGCGTGAGCCAAATAAACCCTTTGCTCCCCAAGTTGCTTTGGCCATGGTGTTTCATCACAGCAGTAGTGACCCTGACTCGGACAGAAGTTGGTACCAGGACAGTGGGGCATTGCTGTGACAGACCTGACCATGCTGTTTTGTGGAGGACTGTGGAAGGTCTTTGGAACTTGGGACTAGAAAAGCCACTGAGTGTTGAGAGCTCAGTGGGTTATTCCATAGGAGTTTGGAAGATATGCATGTTGAGAGCAGTGCAGATGATGGAGACTCTATCTCAATGGTTTCCTTACCCTTCTTGATAAAGGCCCAGTTCTGAGGGAGGATGCCCTGGGGGCTTGGGCACTTTGGGCTTCTGTGTGACAAACTGGCCCCGGGACTCTTGTGCACCCTACCCCTTTCATCCAATTTTAGCTGTGTGTGGCAACAGACTGTATTCCAGCTTCCCAGGGGCCAACTTCCACTGCCTAGGCCCCCTCTGTTTCCTGTGCTTGAGCTCTGCCCTCCCAATAAAGCCCCACTCATGGACGGTGTGCTCCGATAACCACTCCTCCCACTTGGCTCCACTGCCCAGGTTTCCTGTTTCAGGGCTGTGAACCAGGGAGGGAGGAGGGTTGTCTCTGGATACCTACCCACTCTGCACAGCATAATGTTCAAGGAGCAGGAGATGAGCTGGTAGCCCCAAACCCAAACACACAGAATCACAAAGGCATTGAGGGACAGACTCTACCCTACCAACACCCTGGATGAGGACCTCACCACTAGGAGCTGCTAAGACACCAGTGGTCCACTTCTTCCATGCCCTGCTCCACACCATGCCCAAGTTCAAAATTCCATTCCCATGGGGTCAAATACATAGACTCTTCAGAAGTCAACACATCCTTGATGATGGTCCCCATCCTCTGTTCCCTATGCCCACCCACTCCTGGCTAGCCAATGAAGCATACTTGTAGATTTTTATTATAACCACCTTATGCTGCTTCCACCCCTACCCTGTGGACCCCACTCTTGGAGACTTTCAATCAGCTCCCCAGTACCCCTCCCATACACTCTGTCTTGGGATAAAACCCTCAATACATAGACATGTGAACCTCCACAGCAGAGACCCAGACATTTGGAGGCTCCAGCTCAGAGGTCCCCTCCTCCCTCCCTAGGTATCTAGACACAGCCATTCCTTCATCCAAGGATCTAGGCACAGGCTCTCTACCAACAACCTAGGCTCCGAGACCCCTGTTATGCCAGATCTCCCTCTGTCACTCCCAGAGAACCTCAGTTGCAAAGGACCCCCTTGTAAGTATCAGAACACATAGTCCTAGGTCCCAGGAATAGCTGAGGATGGGTGTCTTGGAGTTTGCTGGGCCATCAAAGTCCAGAGCCTGGGACAGCTGAATGTGTGTGCAAGAAGACCATAGGCTAGCAGCAGAGGCCATGGGGTGCAAGCAGACCCTCCCCGAGTAGGAAAAGGACTTCAGCACCCACTTGTTGCCACCTCTTCCCTGTGGTCTTCTTGAATGCCCTTGGGAGAGGCACTGGAACCAGCCCCGGCCTGGACAGGGGCCAAGGTAGCAACCCTGGATCCAGGGGTTCAGCACCTTAGAGCCACACCCATGTCAGTCTGAACCCCAATCCTGAGCCTCTGCTCCCTGTGCACATCATTCCCGGCTAGCCAGTGACGCTCACCCAGAGAGGAACTTTATTAAAACCAGCAGGAGTTTCAAGCCATCTTCCGGTCTCGGGACAGGGACATGATGCAGGAGGGGTCCTCGTGTGTGTGGGCCAAGGGGTACAGGGACTCTCCAAGCCCACAAGCTTGGCGATATGAGCTCAGTTGTGGGGGCCCCTGCGGGTGGTCGATGTGGTCCTGATGTTGTAGGCCTTGAGCGCCCCGGGTCCCCCACTGCTTGAGAAGCTCAGAGCGTTGCTGCCCATGGTTCCCCCGAAGAGGAGCCTGCTGCCACTGCCGCCCGTGGAATTCACTACAGCTGGAAGAGGAGAAGGTCTGATTAGTGCGCACTCCCCTACCCAGGGAACCCATCCTTCCCCCAACACACCTTCTTGACACAGCTGCCCCTCTCCTCTCCTGCCTCCCCTCTCAAACAGTCCTCCCCCAACCTAAAAGAAACTTCTGACTGTGGCAGGGGCTTCTCCACAGGAGCTCAAAGCCTTCCTTCACCTGGCTCCCCACTACCCCCACCCCTGCCTCCTTGTTCTGGGCCACTGAGCTGGGTGGATATGAGTTCCATGGAACCTGCCAGAACTGTGTGTGGAAGGGAGGCTCCCAACTCCACCAGCCAGGGCCCTTGGGCCAGTCTACCATGCTAGAAAGTCAGCTAAGTCCACACAGTTGAGGGGGTAGTGGAAAACTTACAGATGTTCACAGGGCCCATTCCATCTCCAGACAACCTGGAAGAAGAGGACAGGTCTATAAAAGCGGCTCTCACCTCAGGGCAGAGCTTCCAGGCACTGCCAGGCCCCAGCCTCCAGACCCCAAGCAGAGTCTCCACCCCACCCTTCTTGTTCCCAGCTTGTCTTTAGCCTTGTTTCAAAATGACTGAGGAGGAGGAGGAGCAGGAAGGCCCACTTAGACCCCTCTCCCAACCAACTACATGAGCTGCATCAAAGTTCCAGAGCCTTCGTGTCCCACCTCTAAACTGGGCCTACCTCCAGAACCAAGGTGACAGGTTCTTTTGTGAAGATTGCTGCATGCATTTTCCCTACAAGCTTCGAACACCTAGGGCTTGGGAAATGGTTACCATGCTTATTATCGGTGAGCAGCCCTGCCCTTCCTCACCAGAAGTTCTCAGAGAATGGGCTGCTGCCTGCGGACTCCTGTCTCCAGCCCCTAGCACGAGGTCTGGAGCTAGCAGTTACTTAATAGGTGCTGAAATAACTAATGAATTGTTGACTGATTGACTTCGGCTCCAGCCAGGACTGCGAGGGTGGGGGAAGGCGGGGTGGCTTTAGCCGCCCGTGGGTCTGAAACAGGTCTTGCAGTGGAAATTACAAATCCAAGACAGCTGGGTGTGTTTGTTTGGTGACTCACAGTCTCATCGTCACCAAGCTCTTGGCCTTAGGGTTCAGTTTGCTGGGGGGGGGGAGGTGGGGAGGACACGACACAGACACCTTACTCTGATGGGGGAGGGGCAGCGAGGAGCCACTGGCCTCAGCAGCCTCAAACTGAAGGAGAAAAAAAGAGTCAGGTTTTCAGGATGTTTCCAGAATGCTGGATCAAATGGTAAGGATTACTAGAAGTTGGAGCAGCCAAGGGCAGGGTGCCACCAATCAGCAATTCCATGTCAGAATTTCCAGGGCACTGTCTAAAGGACTCACTGGGAACAGACCTGATGTCCAAGTTATAGCGACTGATTTGATTCTTCCTTTCTAATAAGTATGCAGTGACTTATTTTATGCAGTGACTATATTTGCAACATTGTATCTCGAAGACTCCAAACTCAAAACAATTATGAAAGTTTCAGAGCCACAGTCCCTGATATGCTCAGGAAGAGCTGAGGAGGTTAAGGGATTTAAAACAGGAAGAATCAGGGCCCCATGCATCCAGGAAGATGCAGAGAGGCCTCTCAGATGCAGCTGCCAGTGTGACAGTCAGTGTGACATGCCTATGTGACTGACTGTGTGACAGCCTTGTGACATCCTGTGTGACATGCCTATGTGACAGCCTGTGTGACATCCTGTGTAACATGCCTATGTGACAGCATGTGGGACATCCTATGGGACACGCCTATGTGACATGCCTATGTGACAGCCTATGTGACATCCTGCATGACAGCCTGCGTGACATCCTGTGTGACAGCCTGTGTGATATGCCTATGTGACATCCTGTGTGACATGCCTATGTGACATCCTGTGTGACAGCCTGTGTGACATGCCTGTGTGACATGCCTATAGGACAGCCTGTGTGACAGTCTGTGTGACAGCCTGTGTGACATCCTGTGTGACATGCCTGTGTGACAGTCTGTGTGATAGTCTGTGTGACATGCCTGTGTGACAGTCTGTGTGACATCCTGTGTGACAGTCTGTGTGACATGCCTGTAGGACAGCCTGTGTGACAGCCTGTGTGACATGCCTGTAGGATAGCCTGTGTGACAACCTGTGTGACATGCCTGTAGGATAGCCTGTGTGACAGTCTGTGTGACATGCCTGTAGAACAGCCTGTCTTCCAGAGGCCTCTGATATTCAGTTCCTCTTCTCACAAGGAAGCCAGGCAGGTAAATAATTAAAATATAAATTATTTATAAATATAGTAATAAATAATACTAATTAGCTTACACAGACCCTCTTCTTCTACCTCTGGCCTACATTTTCAAGCACATTTCTCCCCCCTCTTCCTACCACACAGGCTTTCTGCCTCAACACACCCCTACCTTCCTGTCCACTCCATTCATCCTCACCTACATACACACCCACACACACAATAAATGTTTTTAAAATAATTTTTAAGTGCAAGTAAATAAATGTTTAAAAAAAAAAAAAAGCAAATGTTCCTGGTCTCTGAGCTCTCCCTTTGCAGGTGTTTGTCTCCACAGTGAATGCACTTCCTCCCTGAGGGCAGAAACATGGCTTAAATATTATCTGACTCTATGCTGGGCTCTAACAAATGAAGACAAACAAGTAAGTCTACTCCCATGCGTTTGCCAACATGGTTGCTTCTCACCTCTCCAAAACTTAACCTTCCCCAGGGCACAGCTCTGTATGTTCACAGGGAATCAGCCCCTGCAGCCACTAAGAACAAGACCAACCTCAGATGGGGGTGCTCTGTCCTGCGGGAAGCCAGCCCAGCCCCTGCCAGCTTCCCAGCCACTGCAGGTGGCTATACAAATAGCTCTGGGGACAGAGGAGATCCTCCTAGCACACTGAGGGCCACATGGTTAGCCCAGTTAGCCATGAAAAGTAGCCTAGCCACTTGTTCATGGGCCAGCGATCAGCAGGCCTCAGCTGCACACTAGCCTGTCCCTCAGTTAATTGAACCACCGCTTGTCCCTCTGTAGACCCTGGAGGCAATGCTCCTTGGCCTGCCTCCCTGGAAACATGCCGAAGATCAGTAAGAGAGCCCTGCTAGGAGCTGGGGGCATGGCTCAGTGAGTGAGAGCACTTGTTGAGCAAGCATGGAGATCAGCATTTGAATCCCCAGAACCCACATACGAAGCCAGGTGTGGCCTCACACATGCCTGTAACCCTAGCAGGTGGGAAATGGGATGATCACTAGGGATGTCTAGCCACCAGACCAGCTCCAGGTTCAATAAGAGACCCTGTCTCAAAATAAGGCAAACACAGAGCAGGACGCTGACATCCTCCTCTGGCCTCCAAGCATCACCTTGGATGTGGGAACTTGTGCACACATGTGTGCATACACTAGACACATGCACCATACCAAGAAAGCCCTGCTAATGGCCCTACTTAGGAAGGAACTTGCCACATGGCCTTTCCATCTAGAAGGATGTTTTCTACAGAGCTAAGCAGCAGTCATGAGCATTGTGCACCCTGTCTCTTCTACCGAGGCCCTGCAAAGGAGGGCACCTAGGAGATGCATGTGGGTATGTTAAGAACAAGGCCAGACCTCACTGATCCCCAGGACCTCCTGCCCAGCCTGCATCTCTCACCGGCTCTCCTCGCCCTCCAGCAGCTTGCGGTAGGTGGCGATCTCGATGTCCAGCGCCAGCTTGACATTCATGAGCTCCTGGTACTCTCGCAGCTGCCGCGCCATATCCTGTTTGGCCTGCTGCAGAGCGGCCTCCAGCTCCTCCTGCTTGGCATGAGCATCCTTGAGTGCTAGCTCCCCACGCTCCTCAGCCTCAGCAATGCTGGCCTCCAACTTGGCACGCTGTAGAAGGTCATGAAACCATGAATGGAGGGGACAGCTGGCCACTATCTTCCTACCAACCCATGCTGCACCTGCCCATCTTGCTTAAGATGGCTTCACTGGCCCTGCCTACTGCCCCGAGCACCAGCGAGTCCTGAAGGTTAGACACAAGGATGTGAGGGTCCCATGCCTAGTGTCTGATGCTGGCTCTGTCACTTTCTAGCAGTGTAGCCTTGAGGGGATTAACCCCTTCAAGCCAAAGTCTCCTCTTCCTAAAAGAGTAATAATCACAGCATCTATTTCATAGGGAGACTGTCAGGGTAAGGGGAGATGAGACACATAAAGTCAGGCTAGAGAGATGGCTTAGTGGTTAGAGCACTTGTTGTTCTTGCAGAGGGCCCAGGTTCAATTCCCAGCACCCACATGGCAATTCAAAACTCTTCATAAGGCCAGTCCCAGAATGCACATGATACACAGATTCACATGCAAGCCAAACACTCCTACACATAAAATAAAACAAATACATCTAAGTCAAAATTTTTAATTAAAAATTTTAACGTCTTTTTAAAAGAGACACACAAAGTCTTGACATGATACCTAGCATACACCAGATGCTCAATCAATGTTACTTTAACTTGCAAACCCTAGCACCCGCCCACCCCTAGCCAGAGCACCAAGGCATGGGATCCCAGTTGGGTCACAAATACTAGCAGAGGACAAGAACTGGGTACCTTTAAAACAGACACCAGCCATTGGAGAGAGAGTGAGCAGGGACCATGGGAGAGGTTGGAGAGGGGAAAAGTAAGGGGGGAAGTGATGTGATTACATTTTAATTCAAAGATGTTTTTTCAAAAATAAGATAAAACAGGAACCAGGTGTGAGCAGTCCAAATAGAAGATTGAATCCAATACCATATCATGTGGTTGGAGCAGGGTGACACAGTCCCATGGGCCGGTGTCTGCCATGAGCCGCTACCACTTACTGTTGGCGTTAGGGCTTTCCCGGCCTTGGGCACTTCCCCCACGGTCACAGTTTGGGTCTTGAATGTGCCTCAAAGCCCCTGTGTTGATGCTTTGGTCCCCAGCTGAGGGCGTTTATTAGGAGGAGGTAGAACCATTAGGGGGCAGGGATAGTAGAAGGAACTGAGGCCACTGGGGATATGTCCATGAAGGGGAATGAGGAACCCTGGTCCATCTTCTCTGCATTTTGGCTGAGGTAAGACGAGGAATTTTGCACTACCATGTGCCCACACACACCATGGTGTTCTGCATAGCCACCCACTCCAAGTGATTATGCTCAATGACCAGGGACTAAAACATTGAGACAAAATAACTCCTCTCTCTTCTAAGTTGGTTCTCTCTGGCATTCTACCACATGGGTAGACAGCTGGCTAACACAGCCACTAACAAGAGCTGTCTCGCTGTCCCACCCCCCACCCTCCAGCCCAGGGCTTCTCTGCCCTTCTCCAGGACCCCTCTCCAACCTAGGGCCTTCTTCCCTCAGCTGAAGTCTCTGCCTCTCTGCTCCATGGGCACCACGCAGCAGCGTCCTCTCACACTAATGTCCCCCGGGCCAGGCAGGGCTAGTCCACTGCCTCTAGAGACCAATGAGCCAGACAGATGGCTTCCGCTCTCAAGGAGCATGCAGTTTCAGTGGGGTGAAGATAGTCAGTAATTAAACAATAACTTCGAACACTCCAGACAGTAGAAGGTGCTTCAAGGAACTTCAGACGGGCTGCTGGTGCGGTGGCTGGGTGTTTGAAGAAGCCATCCCCCACAAGGGGACTCTGGTCCCGAATCCCACGCATGATAAAGCAAAAGCCATAGACAGAGCTGGGAGACTCACAGTCCAGGTGGACTGAGAGGCCTTGGAGCATGAATGCTTAGTAAAGGCAAGACTCCGGAAGCAGGCTAGCATGGCCTGAGCAAGAGGAGAAAGGGGTGTTGTCCAGAGTGAAGATGGGGTGGGACATGTAAGGTTCTGATCCATGTGCTGTGAGCCCAGAGCTGGGGGCAAGCAGTGCTCAGTGTCAGGGTGGTTCCTCTTTGGTAGGTGACCTGAGTTCCCTTCCACGGGCTCCATGCCCAACCATGACTCCTACTTTCAACCCAAGCCAGGTCCTGGCCAAAAGCATTCCATCCTGGAGGTCTCACTAGTGGCCTGAGATGTGAGCTGCTCCCACCTGGGCCCAGGCCTCCCAGATTCACCCTGACCTTGACCTGGCTAGCTGCCTCTCACTCCCAAAAAGCAGGGATGAGGCAGCAGGAGGGCAGGTCCCCACCTGGTTCTTCATGGTGTCAATCTCAGCCTGCAGCCTCTGGATGGTACGGTTCATCTCCGCAATCTCATTCCGGGTGTTGCGGAGGTCATCCCCATGCTTCCCGGCCTGGGCCTGGAGGGTCTCAAACTGAAAGGCCACGAACACAACTATGGCAGGGTGGACCATCACTGCCAGACACTGGACTTTCTCCCCATCCACAGACAGCCCCTCCCAGCCTACATTCCCAGGAAAGGCAGTCCCCTCCCAGCCACCACTACCACCCAACCCCCCACAACTGCAACCCCAAAAGGTCAAACTACAGGGCAGTCCCTGTCCCCTCCTAGCCAGGATCTGAGAGCATGCGTCCAAGCCTGTACTTCCACCCATGCATGCTGCTGGGCTCCATACCCTGTGCACCTTCAGACCTGGCTTCTGGCTTCCTTTGGTGACACTGGTTTGGCCCATGTCCCGCCCATTTCTTTAGCAGATTGCTCTCAGCTGTTTTGACTCTATAGGAACAATTAAGCCTCCCATTCCTGGAACACTGGACTTCAAGATCTAGTCCCTGCTCTTTCACCTACTAGCTATGCAGAGCTGGAAAACTCACTTAGCCTCTCTGGGCCTCAGTGGCAATCATAGCGGTGCACACAAAAAAGGGCTGTTCTGTGGCTTAAACATGTAAAAGTGACAGAACACTTAAGACACTGCCTAGTCCTGTGCAAGTGTGCCCTGTCTGATAAGCATTATGAAATGGAACTATTATCAATATGCGTCTCATTCCTCTGTCTCTGCCCCATCAGCCTGGGCTCAAGCCTAAGGCAGGGAACCAGCCTTGGCACCTTCTTTGTCCTGAACTCCAGAGCATACCACGGCCTTAATCACTGGTGCCTGGCAGGTCCCAAAGGCTGGAGACAAGGTGAGGAGAAAGGGAGTTGCCACCCAGAGCCTAGCAGAAGGAGGAAAGATGCCCCCAATGACCACTCACCTTGGTCTGGTACCAGGCTTCAGCCTCAGCCCGGCTATGGTTAGCCATCTCGTCATACTGGGCCTTAACCTCAGCAATGATTCCATCCAAGTCCAGGGAGCGGTTGTTGTCCATGGACAGCACCACAGACGTGTCTGAGATCTGAGACTGCAGCTCTGCTAACTCCTGAGGGGCCAGACAGGACATTGGGTTGCGTGTCTGGGACATGATCCATCCCTGTTCCCACGCCACACTGGAACCCACCCAAGGAAAAGAAAAAGCAGACCCTGGAGTGGGCGGAATAGCCAGGCAGTGAGGGACTCAGACACAGCACATGTGAATGGTTCTGCCCACCCTGGGCAGATAGCAAAAACAGGCAATGTGGTACACATGATGACTCCTCCTGTGAGGTCCTCTCAGGGGACCTAGCCTTGGCCCACCCCCTGCCAGATGACGGTTAGCAGATCTCCTTCCTAAGGCTAGAAGATGACACACCACCCACCCTGGAACTCACCGTCTCATTAAGGGTCTTGAGAAAGCTGATCTCATCATTCAGACTATCCACCTTGGCCTCCAACTCCACCTTGTTCATATAGGCAGCATCCACGTCCTGGGGTTGAGACACAGGACAGAGTGACACCATGTCCTCAAGACAGGGGACGGTCAGTAGAGATGAGAGCAAGTTAGTCAATCCTGCCCAGTTTTTCAGGACAAAACACCCCTGCCTCCCCAGACACTTCCTCCCTGGCCCTCCAGGTTGAATGCTGGATTGGTGACATTTCCATGCATCCCCACAACCACCATTGCCTCCCCAGCACCTTCAGCCCAGAGAACCTGAGCCCCAAACCAAACATGTGACCAGGTCCCAAAGGCTTCATGGTGTGGACACAATCCTGGTTCAGCCACAACTGGCTGTGTGACCTAGAACAAGTCACTTCCACATTGAACGCCTCAACTTCTCAATCCATGTAAGAACAGAGCATCAATCATTCAGCTCCTCCTTCCCCCTCCTAAAGATGAGCAGCTCCAACTGGCCTGCTTCTCTGGAATCACTGGGTGACTTAGAGAACCCAGGTCACAGCCCAGGTGGGAGCCAGGCTTCTGTCAGCACTTTTACATCACTGTGACCAAAATTTCAACAGAAACAATGTAAGGGGGGAAAGGTCTGTTTGGGCTCTGGGCTTCAGAAGCCTCAGACCACCACAGCAGAGAAAGCCTGAAAGACACAGCAGCTCACATCATGGCTGACCAGAAGCAGAGGGAGGGAATTCTGATGCTCATTTGACTCTGGCTCTATCTATCTATCTATCTATCTATCTATCTATCTATCTATCTATCTATCTAACTATAATCTATCTATTTATAATCTATCTATCTATCAATCTATTTATAATATATCTATCTATTTATAATCTATCATATATCATCTATTTATCTATAATCTATCTATCTATTTATAATCTATCTGTCTATCTGTCTATCTATCTATCTATCTATCTATTTATAATATATCTATTTATAATCAATCCTATATCATCTATTTATCTATAATCTATCTATCTATCTATCTATCTATCTATCTATCTATCTATCTATCTATCTATGTCTCTCTCCCTCCCTCCCTTTTATTCTGTCCAGGGTCCTAGCTTCCTCCCTCAGTTAACCCACTCTGGAGACACCCAGAAGTGTGCCTCACCAATGTTACAAGTGATTAACAATAATACTAATTAAAAATCAGGTTCTTACTATGTAGCCCTGGCTGGCCTGGGATGCACTGTGTAGTCCACACCTCAAGCCCGCCAAGCACTAGAACTCAAAGTGTGTCCTACCACATCCAATTCCTAAGTGATTTCCAAGTCCAGCCAAGCTGATGATGAAGACTAGCCATCGCACGCTCCTACCTACACTTTCTGGGTTGACCTTGTGAGTCTTCAAGGGCCCGCTCTGTGGCCAGGCTGTATGCCTACAGCAGGGTCTGGGATACAAAGCTCCTTGGTGAGAGGGTTTGGACTCAGAATTCTAAAAGGCAGGAAGCACAGATCCCTCTAAGACACGCCTATGCTTCCCAAAGGCCACTTGCACATCTTCAGGGACAGAGAGCTCATCCTGACTCAAGACAGTTCATTGTTCATTCTGCAAACATCTGAGGCCACCCAGGAGCCATGGGGTCTGGGGTAAAATGTTCTGACCTCTAGAAGACACTCCCTTATATGAGCCTAAGACCTTCCTCTCAAACTTCTATCTTCTGGTCTTAGTTCTAATCCTAAAGGTCTGGAAAAAAACTCTATTCATTCCCCCAGAGACATGCATGTGCACAGGTGCATGCACACACACACAAAAAAAAACCACACACACACACACAAAGAGAGTAAGAGGGAGAAAGAGAGGCTCACATACACAGAGACACACAGAGAGGTGGGAAGAGAGAGGCACACACACATGCACACACACACAGAGGGAGAGGGAGAGAGAGAGGGGGGCACACACAGAGGTACACAGAGAGGGAGGAGAAAGAGGCACACACATGTGCGCACACACACACACACGTGCACACACGCACACAGAGTGAGAGGGAGAGAGAGACACACATACAGGCATACATGAACACAGGGCATGTGTGGCTTTGAGACTTCCCCAAGCTCATCATTCCCTTCTGTTCTGCCCAAGGCAGGCCTTGACCACAGACCCAGCCCTGGGGTATAAGGTTCCCAGCTGGTCTCACCCTGTGTGTGAGACAACCCTCCGGGGCCTCCACCCCTCACCTTCTTCAGCAGCACAAACTCATTCTCAGCAGCCGTGCGCCCATTGATTTCCTCTTCATACCTGCAATGGGGGAGGGGCATGGTGACTGCCCAGCTTTGTCTCCCAACAGTCACACAGGACGCTCGCCTCAGTGGCATGCCTGAGAGAGCAGGTGGCATAGCTACAAACCCTGACTCCTCTCGCTTTCATGCAGATCATCCCAAGGCTTCGTGTCTCAGTGTGGAGGGAAGGGGCTTGGGAAATGTCTGTGAACTAGAAGCCAAAAGCTGTACCTACCGGTGGAGCGAGCAAGCATAGCCATGCTTAGCGGCTGTTTTATGGGGCCTGCATTGGCATGCACTTCCTGTGGGATAATTCACTCCCTACAACATAGAACTGTAATTGTCAGAGCTGAAAACACAGAGGGGGGTCACCTGTCCGGGTCACTGCACTGCAAAGGGACAAAGCCCTGGCTTAACCCCTGGCAGTTGACTACCTGGCTCATGTCTCGACTACTAGCTAGGCCCACCCCTGAGGTACAAAGAGGAAGTTCAAATGGGGAACGCTTATAGAATCAGGACAGAGTGACCAAGCTGGGTGGTATAGCCTGCATCTTTTCCCCCAAACTCCTCTTCCTCTCAAGGAACTGGCACCTGGCTTTGGGAGGACCTCTGCCTGCAAGCTGATGAGGAAGAGTGCATTAGCTTGTTCCAGTGTATATACGGGAATCAAAAAGTGGGAAATTGGGGGTGAAGAAATGAGGACTCAGCAGCACACAGGAGTTGCCAAGAGTGGCAGGAGCTTTGGTAGAAAGCAGTGTGCCAGCCAGGAGCCCGGGCTCATGCATGCATCCAGAATGGCACCTCAGTCCCATAGAAGCTGCAAATCTGCAAGGCTCTCTGATGCCCTGCCTTGGTGCTGGGCTGCTGGGCTGCTGGGGCTCTCAGAGCACCCCTGCCCTTCCCTGGGCCCGCTGCCAGCTTCTCATTCACCCTCTGCCTAGAGCTCAGCCTGGCTCCACAGAAGCCAGGTGCTCTGAGGGGAGCTTGTGACGGGAGATGTGGCCGGCTGAATTCCTAACAACAGGAACTGGCTGGCTACCCAGAACCCCCTTGCCCTGCACCTATCTGGTTCCACCTGCTATGAGATTCACCTGTTGACTTTTGCCTAAGGGAAGCAGCTGGTGGGAGACACTCCCAGAGGGCCTGTTTGTTCTTCTCCAGTCAGAGCTGGTATGCCTGGCTCCGCTTAGTCACACAACCACAGAGCACATTGGCTGCCCCCAGTGCCCAGTGGCAGGGGTCCAGGGTGGGGCCTGCTCAAGCCCTTAGGCATTGCTTTCTGATCAGTGAGGGGAAAAAAGAGCCACAGGAGCCTTCAAAGGCCTGACAACAAGCCCCAGGCTTCCGGTCTCTGGCGGCTCTCCCTGTCTGCCCTGAGCCCTGCCCTGTCATTCAAAACCATCATTCCCAGCTGTTTCCTTCCTTCTCACATCTGGGAGTTAGGGACCCAAAATCAAGGCCAAGTTTCCTGTGACCTGCTATGAAATCTCCACTAAGTCCCATAGACTATCTGGTTTCCAATTCTTCATCTGCACAGAAAAAAAAAAAAAAAAAAAAAACCTATTCTAGAATAATCTAGGGGTACTTCAAGTTCTGAAGCACTCATTCATGGGATATCTTCTTTCTATGGTGCCTGGGGCCTTGGGGCTTAGTCAGGCACCCAAAAGGAACCAGGACTGTCAGGGTAGACTGTGCTATTTCACTTGACTAAGCCAGGGGGGATAAAATGACCAGAATGCCCCAGCAACATCCCCTGGGGGGGTGGGGGAAGGTGAGGCAGGGACTGTGTGTCAGCAAAGGCCATGGCTCAGGCAGTTCTAGTGCTGGGCAGCTAGGCACTCTGACCCCTGAGCCAGAGACACTTGCAGAGCGCTTATGCGTGAGAGGCACCCTGTCCCAGGGCTGGGCCCCTCCAGGCGGCCCCAGGGACGTTACTTATTCTTGTACTCTTCCACCACATCCTGCACGCTTCGCAGTTCAGCCTCCAGGCGGCCCCCATCCAGCTGCAGCGCCTCAAGCTGCTGCCGCAGCCCCGCAATCTGGGTCTCAAAGATCCGGGGAAGCTGGCTGCTCTTGGCTGACTTCTGTTCCTGCAGCAGGGCCCACTTGGTCTCCAGCATCTTGTTCTGCTGCTCCAGGAAGCGTACCTGGAGGGGTGTTGGAAGAGGAGGCGCCTGAGGGGCCAGACCATACCACCACAGGTGTTGAATAGTCTGGAGCCACCCAGCAGAGCCCACATACCCACCAGTCGGTCCCCCATGCTCAGTCCTCCCCTCTAGAACCCTATTTCAAGTGTGAGGCGTGGAGTGGGTGGGCTCGGTTCGGTGGTGTATCAGGATTTCCAGCCAATTTTGTTTCAATGGTATTCTCTACCTCTGCCCTCTAGCCCCTTTCCTCTCTGAAACTAGAGGTGAGAAGGTATTAGGTGGTTGACTGGACTACCCCCTCCTTCCAGGCTGGAACTTCTCTTTCTTCCTCAGCATCTTCTATCCTTCCCCTTCCCTCCAGCCAGGCCTCAGGGCAGGATGTTAGGATCAAACCAATGAAAAGAAGCACTGGCACCCATCCCTGGACCAATGGGAACACTCAGCCTGAGGTGGGAGGCAAGAGGAGATGCCTGGAAACCAGCAACCTGGAGAACCAGGAACTCTGTTAGGACAGTCCGGCCCAACATCAAGGCAAGAACCCAGGTCTAGGGCAACAGGGGTGGGGGGGATGACACACAGACTTCCGCTGAGGATTTCCAGGGCAAAATAGCACAGGCAGGAGGATTGGAAGGGAGACACTGAGGCAGGGGAGTGGGCCCTAGCCAGAGGCCCAGGCAGGACTACAGGCCTCAGCTCCCTGGGCCCCTTCTCTGCCTCTTTCATCCCTAGGAGCCCATGAATAGCAGGAATGGACAGTCAGGGAACGTACCTTCAAAAGGGTTCCTGTTGATGGTCCATCAACCCAGTCCCTATCACCTACTGGGCCATCTCCAAAGGCAGACAGAGATGACCTCACCTCCAACCAGCAAAGGAAGGTAGAGGAACAGGCAAGTAGGTAGGGCAGAAGCCTCCCTCCCCCAGGCCTTTATTCTCAGCCTCTACCTCAGATACATCATTCTCTCAACTGGAAAAGGACAATCATTCCACCTCATTCCTGAATCCCCACAACCTCCTCTCAGGGGAAAGGGACCCAGACAGCAAAGAATTAATTGCTGGCCTTGACCTCCAGAGTTCCCAGCCTCACACCCATAACACAGTGGCTCCAAAGCCCCCAGAGACCTCAGACCAGTCGACCAAAGAAGCTAGGCAGATCTTAGACGGCATCCTTGGATCCTTAAGGAAAGGGAGGGGCCCTGGGCCAGCTGCTGGAGGAGAAAAGGAGCTTGGAGATTTAAGGAAGGTGTAAGGAGAGATATTGCTTCTAAAGAGCCCACCCAAGACACCGGAGGAAGGAGACCAGGGCCGGCCTCCTAGGGCAGGACCGACGCAGGTGTGGCGGGTAAGAACCGCTAGGGCATGACTGAGGCTGAGTCACATGGGCCTCACCTTGTCGATGAAGGAGGCAAATTTGTTGTTGAGGGTCTTGATCTGCTCACGTTCCTCCTGGCGCACCTGCTGGATGGTGGGGTCGATGTCGACCCTCAGCGGTGCCAGCAAGTTCTGATTGATAGTGATCTCTCGGATGCCAGCGCCCACCGGGCTCCCGTAAGCGGAGCGCACCGCCATGCGCGGCCTAGAGGTGCCCAGGCCATAGAGGCTGCTGCTGCCGAAGCTGCCGGTGCGGCCCGAGCTCAGGCGCATCTGGGCACCTCGGCCCGGGAAGGTGGTGGAGCGAGAGCTGAAGTGGATGGACATAGCGGCTGGACGCGGCTAGCTGGACGGGGTGGACGAGGAGAAGCAGGGAACTCGCTGACCTCAGACAGACTGCGACCTTTTATCCCTCTGTGCGTGCGGGCCGCTGGCTGAGCACACACAGGTGGGGACGGGGCGGGGCTGGCCGCCGGCCACCTTTCTCTGCCGCCAGGGGCCTCTGAGGCCGCCTTCCGCCCTTGCGCCGCCCCCAGCCACCGCCCAGGCTCTCGTCCACGCCAGAAATGTATGCAGAATGTCAAAACGCCATCCTGGGACAGCACCATCTCAGGTTGCCCTAGACACCCGCAGCCCAGAAATCTCTGGACCTCAAAGAGACCACCTTACAGTTGACAGGGGAAGGCTTCCTGGAACAGGCCTGGGGAATGAATACCCAGATTCCTGAGGCCAGCAGGGAAGCCAAGTGCTACAGAAGGAAGTAGAGGACAAACTTCCGCTCCGGTTGAGAAAGTTGAAACCCCTCACCCAGTGGCTCGGGAAGCCCAAGGCTTTCTAGGACACTCCCTCCATAGGCCAGCTGCTGCTGGAGAGATCTGATGCTCAGTTCTTGAGTAACCTGACCCCATGCCGCTGTTTTCCTAAGGGCGGTACACCCTCCCCACTCCACCCAAGTTTGGAGGGCCTTCCTCACCCCCTACTCAAACTACTTTCTGGGTTTCTAGGATGCCCGGTATGTACACTTCTGTATGTTTACACTCCTAGACACACACTCATGTGCGCATACATGAGTGGAGTCTGCATGCTGGCCTGGATACACAACTGAACACACTTTTATGCACATCTGTGTGTCCCAGCTCCTGTTCACATTCAAACACTCCTCCCCATCCTGCCCCATTTTCCTATTTAAAGGTCCACTAGGTTGTACCTGAGAAGGGACCCAACAGCTCCAGCCCGGCCTCACTCTGTAGCAGCCAGCGCTGTACACTTAGACCTCTGAATGCTCCCCCACTCCCATTTTCCCAGACTCACTTGGTCAGCCTTTAGCCCACTTCGAGCCCCGCCCAGGGAGCTGACTGAGTCTTCAGGGGAGTCCTGGGTAGAGGAGGGTGGGGTTGGAATGTTCTTGCTGCTTTGCCATTTCAGTTAGAAAGCCCTAAGCTGGCAAAGGAGACCCCCCACCCCTCAGAGTGCTTCCTCAATTCATCGGCTCTCTGTACCCCTCTACATCTACTTCATCCCCTGCCATCCCTCCCACTCCGTCCCCAACTCTGAAGGCTGTGTCCTGCCCACCCCAAGAGCTCCTCTTTCTCTAGCTGGGCTGAGACATCCTAGCAGGGCACAGCCGGTACAATGACCCAGACAAGACACTGGCCCTCCCTAGGCCACAGCTCCTTCAGGGCAGATGCCTAAGGAAAACCGGGAAGCACACTGTGAAGAAGAAAGGTGTCTGGACACTTCAGGCCAAGCCTCAGCCCCCCATTACCACCGCACACAGACTTGAGAGAGATTTCCTCATTCCAGGGCCTGCACCACATCTTCCTTGGGCCTCTTGCCCCTCCCTGGAACATTCTTAAAGGTTCCAGTGCTGGCTAGATTCCTCCTGCCCCCACATTCCCAGGCCAACCTGAGAGGCCACTCGGTGCCAGGTGAAAGCAGCATTCTCACTCTCCCTCCCCCTCCCCCCCCCCCCCTCATTTCACAGCCCTGGAAGCCTCCCATCAATCAAATGCTTGCCCCAAGAGAGCTCACAGTCTAGTGGCTCATCTGAACCCAGACACACACACACACACACACACACACACACACACACACACACACACACTCAGTTTAAGCCAAGCCATGTGTAAGCTTTACTTGTCCTCTGGCTCTCTTGGCTGCTGTACTAAGCACCCTTTGGAACCTAGCCATCAACAGCAGTAGACCCAGGTTCTTAGCCCTACCTCTGTCCACAATTCCTGACCTGGACACCTGGCCCCTGACATCCTGGCCCATGGGCATTGTGGCTCCTCCCACAGGAGAGGAAACATTCATAACTATTACTCATAGCCCAGCAATGTAAAAACACATCTTCTGATTCTTTTTTTATGATTCTTTAAAAATGTTTTATGTGTGAGTGTTCTGCACGTATCCCTACATGCCAGAGGAAGGCATCAGATCCTATTATAGGTGGTTGTGAGCCGCCATGTGGGTGCTGGGAATTGAACTCAGGACCTCTGGAAGAGCAGCCAGTGCTCTTAACTTAGCCATTGCTCCAGCCCCACATCTTCTGATTCTTAAGAGAAAAAAATCCTTTTGGAATGTGAATGCCTCTAATCACACTAAAAGCCACTTAACATTCTGTGTGGACCACTGGGCGAGATGGCTCTGTAGCAGAATGCTTGACCAGCATGTATGTGGTCCTACTCTCAATCTCTGACAGTGGCGCGCACACACACACACACACACACACACACACACACACACACACACACAATCCACACTGATGCACAGACATAACACTTACAGAGGAACCAAGTGACCCAGGCTAAGAACAGTGTGACTGACAGCAGGCTACTTTCCTGACTGTGAACCACCATCCAAGAGAGTGACAGACGCGAAGGGTGTGGGCTGCTGTTTACCTAGTGCCTACCACACGTGTGCCTGCTTCAAACCTATTGACCATTTTGTCTGTATGACATAACCCATGATGTAGAGATGTACTATACCATGCCACCACTGGTGATAGGCTCTCACCACATAGCCCAAGTTGGCCTCAGATTCTTGATGGTCCTGTCCCAGTCTTCTAAGTGCTAGGATAACAGGCCTGTATCACCAAACCCAGTTATTGTCCCCATCTGAAGAGAAGACATTAAGGCACAAATAATTTAAGTCACTTGCCCAGGCTTCCACAGCTAGTACATAGAAAAGCTAAGATGTGAACCCCAGTAATTGGAACCACTGGATTACTTCCAAAAAATGATGACACTAGATAGATGGGAGACATGGCTCTGTGGTTAAGAGCACTTAGTTAGGTTCCCAGCACCTATGGCAGGTGGTTCACATCTACCTGGAACTCTAGTTCCAAGGGATCCAATACTTTCAACTTCTGTGAGTACCTGAAGGCATATACATGTACACACACAAACACACACACACACTCTCTCTCTCTCTCTCTCTCTCTCACACACACACACACACACACACACACACACACACACACACAATTAATAAAGTATATATAATTGCAAGAAGGAAAACTAGTTCCAAATATGAAAGAGTGCTCAGCACCACTCAAATTGGAGTGGGAGAAAGAATAGGAACAGGAAGCCAGGCCGGTGTCATGGCCACACCCATGATCCCAGCACTGCCGGAGCTAACAGTGAAGGATGGTGAGCTGGGGATCAGCCTGAGCTGCAGAGCAAGACTCTGTCTCAGAAGCCTGCAGCAAAACGGACGTGAGATCCTCTTGTGACTGTCAAGTCATCCAAGACTGAAGTTGACGTTAGCAGCATCCATACAGGCTGTGACTGTGGAGGCCACAGCAAATCTTGTCCTTTGCTACCAGGGTTATTGATTGTCACTTCCTCTTGCAGGGAAAGTTGGCAAAAGATCTCAGAATTAATTAAAAAGACATCAGCAGGGGATGGAGAAATGGCTCAATGGTTAAGAGTCTTGGCACTGGGTGCTCTTGCAGAGGGCCCAAGTTCAGTTCCTAACATCCACATGGAAGCTCACAGCCATCTATAACTCCAATGTCAGAGGACCTGACACCCTCTTCTGGCCTCCATGGGCACCAGCTATACACACGGTGAACACACATACACACAGGCATTCACAAATATGCTGGGGATGTCTTTCTGAGTGCTGTGAATGTGTGTTGCTTTGATTGATTGATTGATTGATTGATAAATAAATAAAACACTGAATGGCCAGTAGCCAGGCAGGAAGTATAGTATAGGTGGGATAAGCAGAGAGGAGAATTCTGGGAACTGGAAAGCTGAGTCAGGCAGGAGACGCAGTCAGTCACTGCCATGAGAAGCAAGATGTGAAGGCAGAAGTGGGAAAAGGTACCAAGCCACATGGCTAAACATAAAAAAGAATTATGGATTAATTTAAGTGTAAGGTCTAGCTACCAAGAAGCCTGAGCCATTAGGCCAAACAGTTTTAATTAGTATAAGCATCTGTGTGTTTATTTCGGTCTGAGTGGCTGCAAGCCAGGTGGGACACAGGAGAACTCCTGGCTACACAAATATACATAAGATTAAAAAAAATAAGTCTTTTCAAAAAAACATGTCATCAGCTTTTACATGTATAAGTAAAACCAGATGAATCCATCAGTCCTCGACTGAGAAGTTCTGCTGTGAGCTCTTCCCTTCCTGGAGTTCACAACAACTGCACATGTACACAGGGTCCCTTCTGCACTGTCTCACGTCCAAGGAAATTTGGAAACCTAAGTGCCTGTCAACAGGGAGCCTGAATAATGAGTTGAGCTAGCTGCTGTCTTAGTCACTGTTATCACTGTGATAAAAGGCAATTTATAGAAGAAAGAGTTTATTCTGCAATTTATGGTTCCGAAGGGTTCCTTGAGAGTGGGGCAGAGGCAAGAGGCAGCGGGAGATGGGACCAGCCGCTGAGATCTCACATCCTGAATTGCAAGTAGAAAGTCTTTTGAAACTCAAAGCCTGTCCCCAGTGACATGCCTCCTCCAGCAAGGTCACACCTCCTATTTCTCCCCAAACAGCCACCAACTGAAGACCACGAATTCAGATGTAGACTTAGAGGGGGCATCCCACTCAAACCGTCATCATCATCGTAGCTTCGTTCAGTGGATCACCGTTCAGGGAAATGAATACATCCTTTCTATGTTGACCGAGTCTTCAAATTTCTAATTAATCAGTTGATTTTTGTGTGCATGGATGTTTTGCCTGCATGTATATGCCTGCATCACATGAATGAAGTACCCAGGAGGCCAGAAGAGGATGTCAAATCTCCCAAGACTGATGTGACTTAGCATGTGAGTGCTGGGAATCGAACCCAGGTCCTCTGGAAAAGCAGCCAGTGCTCTTAACTGCTGAACCATTTCTCCAATTCCCTTGACTTTGTAACCTTTACATATCCACTGAAAAATTGGTGCGGTTTTCCTTTATTTTTAATGACTTCTTTAGCTTTGCCTGCACAGTAATGGGTTTCTCCACACATGCGCGTCGTTATACTTTGTTCTTATTTCATCCCCTCTCCTACCCCCTCTCTCATGTCTCCCCGGACTTCAGCTGTTCCCTCTCCCCCCAGATATCCCCTCACCTTCCTCAGCCTGTTTTCCATTACCCTATGTCATAGTTCATTTTGTCAGCTCGACACAAAACTAGACATACCTGAGAAGAGGGACTCTAATTTAAGGAATTGCTCTATCAAATTGACCCGTGGACAAGTCCGTGGGGGCATTTTCTTGATTCCTAAATGATGTGGGAGGACAAAGCCCGCTGTGGGTGGTGCCATCCCTGAAAAGATGGACCCGGGTTGTATTAAAAAGGAAACTGAGCAAGCCAGGGAAGGCAAGCTAGTAAGGAGCGCTCCTCACAGTCTCTGCTTCAGTCTCCACATCCAGGTCTCTGCCTTCAGGTTCCTGCCGTGATCTCCTGTCCTGGCTTCCCTCTGTGGTGGAATGTGGCCTAGAAACTGAAACAAACCCTTCCTCCTCAAGCTGCTTTTGGTCAGTGTTTGGTCACAACTGCAGAAAGAAAATGAAGGCATCGGATCGACTGATTCCTTCCTAAACACACACACTTACACTCGTACATGTACACACATATGCACAACTGTACGTCTAGGTCTCACACACAAGAGAAAGCACACAGTGTTTTTTCTGAGTCTGGCTCCCAGTGTAACTTTAAAATACCCTCCAAGGTTGTATAGGCCTCCCTCCCTCCGCTGTGACTACTTCCTGCCAGCCCACAGCCACCCCCTAACCTCCTGGCCGCTGCTTCCTGTGCAGGAAGGTCCTAGGGCTCCCACCTGCCCTGGCACCCTCATTGTCCACCAGATGATCCACCACATCTCACCCTCCTCATTCCTTAAGCTGCTCAGTTCCAGCAACTTTCACTTTCATCTGCGTTCTGATGACTCCACCCGTGGTCAGAGACCCCAACCTGTTCCGTCCTGAGGCTTTAAACCGCCGGTGG